AATCAATGTTAGGTATAGCGTTATTTACGTCAAGGTCTATTAAACCAATCTCGTAGGACGAATTCTCATCTAAATGTATTGGTGGATAAAAGTCATTACTTAAAATGGAAGATCTCTTATTAGTAAACATGAGCAGATACGACATTTTAGCGTCTGTCTGTATGGGTTTCTTTTCACTCTCTTTGTTTTAAACCGATACCAATGATAGATTAAAACAAACTGTTGTATCTTATATACTGCTTTATTTTTTATATAAGAAATCAATACATAAGTGTCCACAATTCCAAGTGTTATATGACTGATACTGGGTATAATTATATGTTATTGTACATAATCCATCTGAATTAAAATAATTTATCGCTTCCAATGGTGGTCTTAAATTACCGAACGAATCAAAGTACTCTACGTTAGATCCTTTCTTCTTATAGGCAGTCCAGTGGGTTCCCTTTCCGCTATCGTTATCCAAATTAATAACACCCGACTCATTTTTTCTAATTTTCGTAGGTAATCGATCACGTGAAAATATACCTCGAAAATTAGGTACTTTTAATGCTTTTATAAATTTACCAATGCTGATATCAGTTAGAGGTTTATTTGGTAATTTCATTGGAAGCTTTGTTTTACTCATAAAAAAAGCCCCAATCCTTTTTGATACGGTTTAAGGTACAACCTTTATCCTCGTTTCATAGTCTTGGTTGGTGTAAAAGACTTTTGGAATGGTCTTTTCGGGCATTTGGAATCAACGGCAAGATACTTGTCTTTGCAGTTGGAGCAGGATGGAGAGGAAGACGATGGGTGCTTTCTACCTCAGCGGTAGCACAGCGGCTCTTTTTGAATACAGGAAGTGGTGTTATGTCCAAAAGCAAAACATTTAGGGCATTGAATGGACTAAGGGCGAGATGGTCGGGGCGATTAATACCGGTAGGTTTCGGTAAACATCTTGAAGCATTTCGAAAGGAGTGTGTCGATGACCTTCGGACAGTTCATAATAACACAGAAAAGGAATGTGTCCTGTCCTGTTTGCTTTGACTTAATGCGCCAGGTTTTAGCTTGGATATTTTGTTGGTGGAGTTAACGCGAAAAATGTAGGCTTGTGTTTACGATATTGCAAGGGAGGAGAGGAGTTAGTGGATATGTGGTTGGGTTGGATTTTCAGATTATCGGACAGTAGGTAATGATTTAGTGGGAAGAGCTTATTTATTAGATTAGGAGCATTCGAGGTGACACGGGCCTTTTTTACCTCGGTAGACAATGAGGGGAATGAATAACAATGTCAGGATGCTCTTTAATAGGTTGTTAAGGTCATTCAGATTCGAGTATTTGTCCGGTATGAGTTTAAGCCTTGTGTATACAATAGGGATTTCTTTTTCTTTCTTAGTGAATAATTTTGCCCGTGGGATTCACCTCCAGATAAGTATTCTACTTTACGTGAATATTTGAGTGAGGTATCCAGGCATTTTTTTGTGACTTGTTCGATTACTGAGTCTGTTCGGATAACTCAATTACCCTATGTGGGTTATTTGTTACTTGGTTTTGATCTGAGTACCCTTATGTGCCTTTAATTGAGTCTGTGTTTAAGCCCCCGGTGATAGAAACTCTGCGGGGATTAATTTGAGTTTATTTTTCTGAATTTTTTGTTTTTGGTACTGATCCTTTTAATTCTGTGCTTCTTGTTTATTATTTTAATATATTATACTTAAATTTTCATGTGTGTTTTGTTAAAGAACTTCGAGCTCTCTTAATCAGGTGGATTCAGGAACCCACCAACTCTTCTTCCCTAGGGCAAGTTTCTATTCTAGTTCTTTTTAGTTATTTGCCTGGAAAAGTGACTCCCGAGTTTAAATTAAGGGAATCTATTTCCCGGTTTGGAATTGTATTAATCAAAAATTCTGTTTTCTTAATGTCTGCGGAAAAATAAGTATTTAATTCACCTGGTAAAAGTATTTCGTGACACAATTTTTATTTATTTAATTTAAACTTGATGTTTCAATTTCGGCGGTTTCGATAAATTTTTAATGCAGAATTTTAATAAACTTATGAACCAATGAAATGTTATTATTTATTTAAGAAATTATATAACTTTTGAAGGTAATAGAAATTGTTCAACGAAGACCATTTACTTCTTTGGAATTAAAAGATATGGTGTTAAGCTAAAGTGCAGCCGATGAAAAGACAATATTCTTTCGGAATCTTATATCGGAAGCTGTGACCTAATCGACTACAACTAAATTCGGAAACAGTAGTGTACAGCGACGATTGAGGGACATGATAAACTGATTTGAAGAGGAGAATGCGAACCTGTATTTTAGATATTGAAAAAGACTCTACGAGAAGCTTTTGCCGAATTGCACAATCACATGTACTTCCACGTACAGTACTTACATCATTACGTTACATTATATATTACAAATATTTCGAAATATTGATCAAACATAGCGTATACCTATAAGAAGGGGCGAACGCAAAAATATTTTCGGGGGAGGGGGCGTGGTTTTATAACTATTAAAAAAGTTACTTTTCTGGAATTGCAGTACACATCCACCTTTAGTGGGTGACATCCGCCTTAACCACAGAAATGAAGCACAACAATTTTGCTTCTATGAATTGTGTAGTGCTTCGTTAGTTCTTCATAGTGATTAAAATTAAAAACCCACCTCAAGCATCGTGAGTAAGCACTTCCAAGATACTGTGGGTGACTTCCGCCTTAGCCACAAAAATGAAGCACAAGGTGTTAGAAATATTTTTTTTTTCGTAAGTTAGTGCTTCTTACTGCTTAAAATTAGAAACACAACATAAGCACCGTGAATAAATTACAGGACTTCATTGTTTCTCTTAGTGACTTTCGTCGAATAATTTACATATTGCGTCTTGTAGTCCTTAATGTTTTATTACTTTTTCAACAACCTTACTATTTTCGTTCACACGTTATATGTCTTTGTTCAGTTCACAAGCATTTCACATATATATTATATATACATACAAAATCCTTTATTATAAAGTTTATAAAATAATACAAAAGAACAACAACAAAAAGTAACTTGAGTAATTATCAAAGCAGCGAACACCTTACAAGTATAAAAAATATCTGTCTATAAAGTATAAAGTACACAACAGAAAATGTATATTTACAGGAAGATTTGGAACTACATTTTTACATTCTTTCTGAGGGTCAAATATTTTAACGAATGCAAAACAGTAGTTCAGTGTCCAATTGACATGCAGCCGAGTATTTTTTTTTTTATAAAGTCAGTCCCATTATGATGAGCTATTCCACTTTCTTTGAGAAATACGCGACACACGAACATATTGAAGCAAATATTCTAGTTCTGTAGGTATTTTTTTAAACAAGTGTACTTAACAATTAATTTGTTTAACATACTTTTATCAAAATGCACTAACATCTATATTTATATAACGGTGCTTATAAACCCTATTTCTTTATTTACAGACTTTGCTTATTTCACTTAGTACTAGTACATATGGTATACTAGATTTAACCCGCGGCTTCGCTCGCGGTGATGTCTTAATAGCACGCAGTGAAGTTTTACGGAAATTTAAAAAACCATTTTAGACGTCAAAACATATTTCAAAATTAATTAAATATTTCACAATTATAACGTTGCTATTCTTTTCAAATTCATGAAACGGATATCGGGTTCATTTAATTGCAAAATAAGCGTATTTTCTGGTCATTGGGAAAATTATTGAACTTCCCGAAGTCATCAATTAGGACTTCGTCGGTTTTTTTCATTAAATCAGCTAAACCAGAGAAACTTCTGGAACCAGTGAATGACCCATGTTGAACTATGGACAAATAATCACTGGATAATCAAAACAGCTTGACACGTGAACGGGAATCGATGATCTGATCGCAATCAGTCGATTCCGGAACGCGAAGGAATAAAGTCTACCCTTAAAAAGAGAAACGGGTGGCAAACTCTTAGTGTTGGTGACACTACTCCTGGGCGATGATGTGTATTGAATGGTCTACATTGAGAGGAAGACCTTTTTTGTAAACATTCAACTCAATTCTCTATATTATTTTTTTTTTAATAAAGTTGTTGTTGTTTTTAAAACATGCCTATCTTGTCATCTTAGTACCTAACCCCCGGTCACGCCAAAATAATTAATTTGCATTAAAATCAGGTAATTAAAATAAATAATTAACAAATTAGGGATGTAACATAAATGGTGAAGACACCGTATTCGAATTGAGCGTGACAATACGTGTCAAAGATCATCAATGACAACATAAAACTAATTTTCCTATCCTTAGGGAACAGCATTTTTTTTCCGGATAAATTGAGCAGTTAAGGAGTGAAATGAACGAGTTACTCATTTGTGGTGGGTATTTGATTTTAAGCACTAAGGACACTAACGGAGCAGTATACATTTCATAAAAGAAAATTTTGCTGCGCTTCACTTCTATGGATAAGACAGAAGTCACCCACAGTAACCTGCAAGTGCCGTAACTTATTCACGGTAATATTGTGGTGGGTTTCTAATTTTAAGCACTATACATTTTATGAAATAAAAATTGTTGTGCTTCATTTTTGTGCCTAACTTCACGCGCCTCAGCAATCTGTTTTATTGCTCCTGGTCCTTTCAGTTTTCTAGGCCCAGCACGAAAATGACCTTGACGCTGGTAATAAAAATACCCGAAAAGTGTCTTTAAGTACTTAAAAGGAAACAGGTAATTATGAAAACGTAAAATGTAGGGTAACAATAAAATTTCAATATTATTTTAATTATTTACTAGACATAGTGTACTCTCGATGTTCTTGTATAAGTATATCATATTATTAATCATTTTAAACAGTCACACAAACCTTAGATGTATTTTATTAAGGCACTTGATTCATTAAAATACGTAGGTAAGTGGAATTCTGTCACCAGAAAAAAAAAATAAGCAGTGAACGTAATTAATTAAATCATATTCAATTTTCTTATTAATAATTACGCATTAAACAAAATGAAAAGTGCAGCTGGTAATTGAAGGACGTTCTTAGTGTATATCATGCATTCACAATTGTGATTCTTTTCCGTAAACTGCTTACTTTCCCGTGGTAAAGATAGAGTTTGAAAAATTATTTTCGGAACAAGTTTTAATCATTCAGTTAATCTCGACATATTCAAGTAGTAGCTTCGTTTAACCATGATAGTGTGTTTGTGTTTCGTGTGTTTACAAGCAATCATTGTCAGTGGGATCCGAAATTTGTCTTCCGATAATGCAATCTTTCCTAAACTTCCGAATTACGTATCAGTTTCGAACAACAAACAGTGCGTCGATGACAGTTATCTCTATTTGAACCAACTCAGTAATCTAACACTTTGGGCCTATGAAGGTATGTACCTACCTACGTCTAGTTTCTTTATTAACTCTTTCATATTAAACTAAAATTAAATTTATTTCTGCTAACGATTTCTTGTTGTATTTGTAAACGAAATGATTCTTTTTTTTACATTTCACATCAATATTCTTTTCATTGAAAGAAATATCTGGGAACTATATTTCTCATCAAGAGAGATTAAGATGTTATTGTCAGAACTTTGTTTTATGTAAGTTATGTAAATTTACATTTACTACAAACATTTAGAGGTTATCACAAATAAATGGAATACTTTAACATTTAAATATAAATATATAAATTTCGTACAATAAATATACCTACCAATTTAAAGGTCCATTTCTAACGGTGTTTATTACGCAAGAGTCTACATACTTTGACCATACATCTACCTACCTATATTAAAATAGGAAGTTGCCACAACAATTCGGTCGGTTTTACTTTTGAGTAATGGGCACATCTATATAAGTATGTCGAGTTTTTGTAGACCATCCATTGGTAGAAGTATTTAATGGTATTCTACTTTGTACTTTAATAAGTCGGTTAAACTATTTATATACAGGGTGTCTCACGCTGACCACCCATTAGAATATTTTAGAAACTACTTCGATTTAAATTTTGAAAATTAGCACAATAGCTTCATTGGGTATGCTCTACTCAATTAAAATAACGGCATCTACGTAGCATTTCCGGTTATACCAGAAGTTCACATCTACTTCGTTATTTTAAATAGAACACCCTATATATTATGACAGTTTTGAATTCTATTCATTCAAGCCTTCCATCCATACTTTCAAAGTGAGTTAATTGCACACAGAATGTTAAACATTTATTGGCGGTTTTGGTTAACTTCCAACTTTTTCAAATGGAACACCCTGTATGGATTTTTATAGTCTTATACAGAAAGTTTTTCTACAAAGATGGCTGTGACATTCAGAACTTCAAAACAAACAATACAAGTTAAATGTTTTCAATAAAACACCCATACTGAGAGAGATAGTAATTGAGTATTTTGCTTCTCAATGAATTAATAAATATTATTGTTACTAAGAGTGGAAAATGAGAATACGAATTCAAACTGAGAAGAATTTTAAGAAATCAATTACAATACAGCAGACTACAGATAACAATAGTAAAAAAAGCAAGTGGAAAATAAAAAAAGAAATAGTTAACGATATCAACTGATAATTAAATGTATAAGTTTAATGGTTCGAGCAGTTATACATGAGTTTACCGGAAGGGTGAACAATTGCTTAAAGCAAAATGTGGACATATCGATCAATTAAAGAAATAATTTTAATTAATATCAGCTAATATCTGCTAATAATAATTCCTATCTGTAGTCTACTATAATGCAATTCATTTTTAAAATTCTTCTCAATTCAAATACGTATTTTCATTTTCCATTATTTATAACAAAAATTTTCAATAATTGAGATTGAGAATCAGAATATTAAATTACGAAACTGTCAGTATGGGTGTTTGAATAACAGCTTTGCTAAAAAATTTTCGTAAAAAATGTATACTTCGTCTAGTTTCTCTAGCGATGTGACCTTTGATTTGACCGGCGAAAAGTAGAAGAGAACAGCACTAGGCCAGAAAAGGA